ACCTTTAAGAAAAGAAGTTTGACAACGCACACCAACAAATTCACAGAAGTTCATACAAGCAGCTCAAACTAACGAAGAATTAGAACAAGATCGAATCCATGTGAAAAAAACGTGTTTCTCTTATGATGGATTTTGGTCGTATTTTGCGGATTTACGATCTCAAATGAAGACAAAGGTCAAGTGCCATAGACCATTTTATTCACAATTCAATACTGTATCCAACAGTATATAATCGAAAAGTTGAATCGACTTTTACGGATCGTTGAATTGTAGGTTATAGAGACAGGCGCATCCGTTATGTCCTATTTTAAGCCTAATAATAGTTTTCTATTGTGGTATTATTTATGGGAACGTCGACTAGAATTAGAGGTGGCGGTTGGGACTGGAAGGAGACCTGACCACTAAAGGTCTCCTATAAGCCCTTCTCAGTAATGACACGTTGTGGAGGGCTCGGATCGGTCTCAAATTGACGAAAACACATGTGGCTAGAGGCTGATAGAGTCGGATTTTTGATATTTTTCTTTTCAAATTAATGCTCAGCGTCAGAAGTCCAAAATTCGAAAACATCTCATTAAGTTTGATAAAGACGGTATTTCCTGGTATTACTAAAGGTAGTTTTTGATTTGCTTTTTAATTGGAAAGTAAAACTTTTCCGAAATCCAGCTTTTCATTGTTTTCAGAAAATTTTTTCAAAAGCTCATACACTAATTCCTGATAGTAAATACTGTGGTCTATCTGATGACGTGCTTAGCTCAATATCGACTTTTATAAAAAAATTTATCTTTCTGACGGGGGGCCTTAAGAGCGTTTTGGCCATCAACAATCACGGGCAATGTTTGTTGCATGCAGAACAACAATGAACAGTAGCCTGGTTGCTGTTGATTTTTATTATAAAATGATAGTTGTTGTTGTCAGTGATGGATGATGAGAATACTTTTTATTTGTGCCGCGTCTAATTTATTGAGGATCGCCTTGTTCTAATTCTTCGTTAGTTTGAGCTGCTTGTATGAACTTCTGTGAATTTGTTGGTGTGCGTTGTCAAACTTCTTTTCTTAAAGGTGAATACTTACATTAAATACTTTAATTCTGATGCTTTTGACTTAAGAGGAACGACAGTTTCGCATAATTCGATGATGTCACAATAATCAATAACAGATTCTTTTAATCCTTGTTCTTGATTTCGAAGTTTTTGTGATACTAATCATTTTGTAAATGATATTAATATCTTTGGCATATCTTTAGAAATAATATCATTGCTCCTTTGAATTTGTATCATTCCTAAAAAACCAATTTAAGACTTAATCAGACAAATATGACTAGACTATTTCACATGTCTGTGAGTCTTGAATTCTGGCTAAGTTAAATGGATTCTCAATGTTTTTTAACCAGTCTGACATATTTTCGTCATTTTGCTCACTAAATTTTGTTGCTTGTTCAAATGTGTTGATCGTAATTTCTCCTATTGTTTTGTCTGCCATGATAAATTCCAAATGATGATGTGTTGTATTAGTTGATAATTGTTTATTTGTCAACTTCAGTGTCATACAGTCTATTTAGCTCTTGCTGTTGTTGTACTGGCATGCAATTCTTATAATAATTCTGATTATTGCTGATTTGTTTGGATCTAAGCTCGCATTATTGTGATGTTCGATTGACGATCACTCGGCTGGTACATCAATCGTTGTATGCTATTTTAAACCCAATAATGGTTTTCTGTATCTTGATTTATAAGCAAACTAACTCGTAGTTACTAAGTTATAATAACTTACATAGCATAGGATCACATAATAACATAATATCACAATGCGAAAAGCACACTTCTTATATACAAAGCACTTGAGATCAACCCAGAGTCAGAAAGAAGCAGACTTGGAAAAAACTAGAACATGACTAGTGTTTGAGAACATTCTAGAAAGGTGTGATGTCCGTGTAAAAGAATATTCAGAGTGTTCCCGACAAAGTATGACATCCGCGAGAGGAAAAGAACGTCTGAAGGGTAATTTTACTTATAAACGGATTTAGAGTTCTGATATAACAGCATCGAATGAGGATATCCTTACCAGAAACTACTTTTCGTAAAGTTAAGGGCCCCCCAAGTTAAGGGGACATATATGAATGTGAAACTCGACTTAATATTAATTGGATTTAGTAATTTTACAACCGCTTTGTAGTTACTAGAGACTTAGACAGAGCTCATTTCTGAAAGAATCAAAAGTAGATACCACGACCGGTTTCGACCTTTCTTAAGGGTCCGTCACGTAGTTCCTTCGAGAAAGACACAGTTAACGCACGATAAGCAACACAACTCCGTCCACACCGTATGAGGGTGTTACTATTCCTTGTTCTTACCGAACAAAGAACGATAACAGTCACACGAAGAGAACGAAGCACGATATCACTGTACAATGGACATGTTCTGCTTCTCCACATTAAGTATTTCTTTTCAATTTCTCCGGATTGATTCATCCTTTTAACTTAAACTGTATCTACAAACTTTCACTCAACAACTGTTAAGACAAATGTGAAAAGCACCATACTTATGTTTCGATCTTGGGAAATGGTCAACCATACTCTTACTAGTGAAGCTCGTTCACAGTTGAGAAAAACAAAACCAGTAACAATTCTCCGATTAAATATGCGAGTTCTGTGCGATTTTGTTCAGAACTGTATATCAAGAGTCTCCTAGTAGCAACAGTCAGTGTAACATCATTTGCAGCTAATAATGGAACAATATTACCAAAATATGTCACTTTAGTTAATCCATTATCGGGTGCATCATGTCAGCAACAGGGTTTAATTGGTGCACCCGGTCAGTTCTTTGGACGAATTGACGAAGTTTATATTTTCAGAAAAGAACTAACAACAGACGACGTTTGTGTTTTATACTACTATAAATAAGCTTAAAAGCCAATAGGAGTTTTTTTATGCAACTTTTTTATGCAAGGTCATACAGAGTTATACGAGGTCTCATTTTGATCAGAAACGTTTGCTCTGCAAAGCTGTGTGTTTAGATCCGATTCTTCGAGGCTCTTAGAAAACTTGCTCAAAATCCCCGAAAAAACAGTTTTGTAAGCAGATGTGATACGGATTCTGAAAGTAGAAACTTCAGACTATCTTTCTATGTGCGTATCTCAAAACCGATCATTTGACCGAAAATCATGATTTCTGAGGGGAGAAGGGGTCCTTAAGCTGTTTCTTAATACACTCGTGAAGTCTCTGTTAAGCACAAATGAGTCGAAACTCAAGCGTGAATAAAAGCTATTCTCAGTTTAGTTCGCAGTATAAGGTTCATTTTACTTCTCAAGCTCACGAATCTCAGTAAAGATTTGATTTTTCGTTTGAGTGCGAAATCTTATTGTCCGATGTCAGAACGGTGGTCTTTGGTTAGAATTTCTGATTAAGAATGTGCCTTCAGTAGTGTGCTTCAAGATTCTAATTATCTATAAACTGTTCTTCAATGCTATGAACAGTCTCAGACACATCCAAAAGTAAGGCCACATGTACTTACCTCAGAGTTACATAAATGGTCAAATAAAGATATTGTAAAGAAAACATATACTTCGCCCTCATTTTTGTTTATTAATAGTTTTCTCGAATAATCAAACAATGCGAGCATTTTTCGTTTTCATTAATGCTTATGCACAATACATGTAAGACATCTTTATAGTTGCTGTGAATATTTATAATACGCTTTTGAATAAGAAGTTGGCAATCAACAGTTCAAAGGTATTGTTTTCTGCTCCATATTCAATTTTCGTAAAATGTTTTAGCCACAACGTCTGCGCCACCCAACTGTACCTCATGCTACAATCAAACTGCATCACGAATATTATTATCTACTCCTATTTCTTCGTATGACTTTAATGGTGACACAACAGACAGTTTAGGTATTAATAACCTCACCATGTTTAACAATCCCACATTTGTCCAAGGTTATTTTCCAAATGGTCAAGCTTTATATCTTCAGTCAAATTTAAGTCAATATTTGGAAACATCCTATGTTAATTTAACTTATCGTAGTTGGACAGTGTCGCTGTGGATGTATGTGCTAAGCTTCAACACACAAGATTCAAGTATTGTTGGTGAATGTGTCGGACCAGTACAAACGGACCACTGTTTGCATTTAAATATACGTAATATGAAACTTTACATGGCGTTTTATAGCGATGATATCTCAGGCACCACTATATTACAACTAAATCAGTGGTACCATGTATCGTTTGTCTACGACTATTCGATTAAAGGAAAATTTATTTACTTAGATGGAATATTGAATGGAGTATCTAATTCACTTCCAGGAGGAACTTTTAATGTAACAGTGGGAAATTTAACTATTGGTAGAAATTTGGTTATAAGGACGCCGTTAAATTATTTTAACGGATATTTAGATTCACTGGTATTTACTGACAGCGTGAGAACGGCTTGTGATATTATGAATGATGCTACATTAGCTGCTTATTATTCAATGGATTTGACATTGGCAGACTCTGGTCCCAATTCGTTAAATGCTCAAGCATCCGGTCAAACCAATTATATGAATGGTCATATGAATCAAGCATTTGAATTTAATTCTGCTAATAGTTATTTTCAAGCCGGTTATGGTTTTACATTTTTGGGTGTAAACAATCAAGCATATTCATTTTCACTCTGGCTAAATCCAATCGCATTAACTGGAACAGTATTGCATGTATCCAGTTTAAACACTGGTCTTGGTTGGTGTTTGCCTGTTATAGGATTTTCATTGTCGGGTTCAATAATTGCACAAACACTTGATTCTACATTGAGTGTTATTACTGCTCAAGGTCCTATACTAGATTTGAATACTTGGACACACTTTGTCATAACATGGAGTTCAACAAATGGTTTACAACTGTATATCAATAGTCTCCTAGTAGCAACAGTCAGTGTAACATCATTTGCAGCTAATAATGGAACAATATTACCAAAATATGTCACTTTAGTTAATCCATTATCGGGTGCATCATGTCAGCAACAGGGTTTAATTGGTGCACCCGGTCAGTTCTTTGGACGAATTGACGAAGTTTATATTTTCAGAAAAGAACTAACAACAGACGACGTTTGTGTTTTATACTACTATAAATAAGCTTAAAAGCCAATAAAGGAGATATTTTGTTTCAAACCATCTAGTCGCGAATCTAAAACTTTTTCAAAAGATGCCTTAAGTTGGAAATGGCAACACTCTGTCGAAACTTGTTCTGTGATAACTTACGTGCACACTTGATTTAGGTTAGAAATTTACACTAAGATTTATTAAACAATTATTAAAATTCACTTTTCAATTTTACCTACTCGAGATAATCTTGTTTACTTCCAACATTTTCATCTTCTTTATTGATAATCGAAGCATATGGACAATCTTATGACAACCCTAAATATCACAGACTTTTAAAAAAACACTTTTTTGACACTACGAATTTACTGAACATTCAGTACCTGTATTTTGGATACCCACGTCTTCCTGGTAAGAATAAGAAAGATTGCGTTCTTATTGTATCGCCCAGTATAAAAAATACTATTTATAATAATCCCAGGTTACTTGTTCTATTTCCACTGCTGAATCTATAGTTTTAAATAACTCTGAGATCATTTTAAGTGAACATTTGCGACTATTGCTTTACGTAGAAAAACTTGAATTTTTAAAAATTTTCGATTTATTAGACATCAGTTTTTTCGTTTAACGATCAAATAAAACCGGCTGGAATTAAGGGGAAAAACTTTGAATATCGTGCACTTTGTAGCTCTAATAATTCTGCATCTGATGAGTACTTAGATGATTTTGGTTGAAAAGATGCCTGTCATCGTCAAAAACTCGAAATACTCTTTTGAACACAAGTAAAATCGTCAAATTTTGCGATATATAATCAATTTTTCGTCAGCAAAAGCTCGTTTTCTAAAGGAAATAAAGTTGATATTCGTGATCAGCATCAAAAACGGAGTGAAACAAGTTTTCCTTAAATTCCGAAACTTCAAAATTTGGGAGATGACAGCAACGTTTTTACTAGCTTTATCAATCGGTACAAGTACATATTTCTCATGCAAAGCTTTCAACTCATCTATAATACATTGTTATTTTAATTTTGGTTTATATAAGCCATATGCTGGATAATTCACTCGTTGTTTTCTTAATTGTTTGATACGATCTGTAACTAACTGTAATAATTCAGTTTTCATTCACGAAATAAAATTTTAACTGATTTTTCCTTTTTTGAAACTTTATCAATATAATATTCTACAGCTTCTTTTACATTTTCAAAAACATGTTTCCAATTAGTTGGTTGTGGTTCACCATACTATTTTTCACATACTACAACAAAAACTAACTTCATTGATCAATCTATTGACGAAGTACATAAAAAAACAGACAGTCCCTAACATTCTATAGAATATGTATAGACGACCTTGCTTTGTGTAACAAATAAATATTGTTTTGTTGTAAACAATAATGCTTTATCCAAGTAATTATCAGTAGTAGAGTCAAGAAGTATCACAGGTTTGTCAAAATCTTTACCAAATTGCAATTGTTGAACAACAATCGAATTTGTTGTATCTTGTCTCTTATTTGTTGCCAAATAAAAACAGTTATTTTCATTTGTTATTGCATCATAATGAATTGTCGATTGAGTTAATGCGAGTGTAGCATCTGTATCATTAAAGGTAGCTCCATACAAAATGTCATGTGAAGAATTTGTCGTAGCATTAAAATTCGTATTTAAAAAAACAAGTGGCTCATAAATTGCACTGGTAGCTGTTAGGCCCCATGATGATGATTTTGAATATAAGTAAATATTTCTATGACTACGTGCATTTGGTACTAGATTCATACCTATCAATCGAAATTCATTTTCTGTGTATTTATATGTGCATAAAAACGACGGTATTTCTTGTGACGGATCAATATAACCGCATAATGTTGAAAATAACAGAGATTTCAAATTATTATCGTCATTCGGATAATTGAATGCACCGATGTTTGAATCCAAATAAATTATTTGATTACTAAATGGTAGTTTTGATGAAGAAGAATTATCGAAACCTGGCTCAAGTGGAATCTTATCAACTGTAAAATTAATTAAATTTAGTTTACCAATAAAATAATTGCTTCCTTGAGGAAATGAACTAATGAGAAAGTAAACATTGTTTAGTGGACTTGCTTGAGATGAAATGTATGAAAATGATGTATCATATTGAAATTTCAAATATTTTTGACGAGTAATTGAAGCAGTTTGAATATCGACTTTTAATTGATAAATCGCTGTTTCACCTCCGGGAAACGTAAATGGAGAACACATAAGTATCAATGAATCATCTTGATTGTTCCCGTACAATGAAATAAATTTTGCACCAAATCCACATCTTCCATCTTCATCGAATATACCAGTTGGCCGTTGTATAGTTGTCCCATTTTTATACATTATCTCGAGATATGATGAAGGTAAAGACCAAGGACCTGCGTTATTGATGTCAACTATGGCTAAAAGAGTTTCTTCATCTGCTAACGGATAGATATCGAGAATATCACAAGTATGAAATCGACCGGATACACAACCAACAACATTATAGACAAATTCTGTTCGTGGTGATATCCGAGCAAGTATTTGTGTTATGATAGTGAGCAATATTATGTACGGTAGTGCATAAGGAGTCATTTTTTGTTGACGAGAGTCATTTTCGGTTGAATAGAGTAAGATGTTTAAATGTAAAAAGCAAATGTCGATTTTCACACTGTATGCTTTTTTAAAATGGAAAAAAACGACTTTTCACTCTCTGATAACTTTAACGATTCTGAGACAAAGTAATTTCGTAAAAAAATTCTTATCTTTTTGAAAAGCTTTT